AAACTCTCAATAACCTAGGTATTGATGGAATGTATCTCAAAATGATAAAAGCTATTTATGACAAAACAACAACCAACATCATACTGAATGGGTAAAAACTGCAAGCATTCCATTTGAAAACTAGCACTAGACAAAGATGCCCTCTCTCACCATTCCTATTCAGTATAGTATTGGAAGTTTTAGCCAGAGCAATCAGGCAAGAAAAAGAAATAAAGGGTATTCAATTAGGAAAAGAGGAAGTCAAATTGTCTCTATTTGCAGACGACATGATTGTATATTTAGAGGATCCCATCATCTCAGCCCAAAATCTTCTGAAACTGATAAGCAACTTCAGCAGTCTCAGGATACAAAATCAATGTGCAAAAATCACAAGCATTCCTATACACCAATAACAGAGAGCCAAATAAAGAATGAACTCCTATTCACAATTGCTATCAGATATAAAATACTTAGGAATATAGCTAATAAAGGATATGAAGGACCTCTTCAAGGAGAACTACAAACCACTGCTCAATGAAATAAGAGAGGACACAAATAGATGGAAATATATTCCATGCTCATGGTTAGGAAGAATCAATAATGTGAAAATGGCCATATTGCCCAAAGTAATTTACAGATTCAATGCTATTCCCATCAAGCTACCATCGACCTACTTCACAGAACTGGAAAAAACCACTTTAAACTTCATATGAAACCAAAAGAGAGCCCGCATAGACAAGACAATCCTAAGTAAAAAGAACAAAGCTAGAGGCATCACACTACCATCCTTCAAACTATGCTACAAGGCTACAGTAATTGAAACAGCATGGTACTGGTACCAAAACAGAGATATAGACCAATGGAATAGAATGGAGGCCTCGGAGGCAATGCCACACATTTACAACCATCTGATCTTTGACAAACCTGACAAAAACAAGCAATGGGGAAAGGATTCCCTGTTTAATAAATGGTGTTGGGAAAACTGACTAGTCATGTGCAGAAAGCTGAAACTGGACATCTTACACTAAATTTAACTCCAGATGGATTAAAGAGTTAAACATAAGACCTAACACCACAAAAACTCTAGAAGAAAAGCTAGGCAGTACCATTCAGGACATAGGCATAGGCAAGGACTTCATGGCTAAATCACCAAAAGCAATGGCAACAAAACCCAAAATAGACAAATGGGATCTAATTAAACTCCAGAGTTTCTGCACAGCAAAGGAAACAATCATTGGAGTGAACTGGCAACCAAAAGAATGGGAAAAATTTTTTGCAATCTACCCGTCTGACAAAGGGCTAATATCCAGAATCTACAAAGAACTAAAGCAGATTTAAGAGAAAAACACATACCCATTCAAAAGTGGGCAAAAGCTATAAACAGACACTTTTCAAAAAAGACATATATGAGGCCAAGAAACATATGAAAAAATGCTCATTGTCACTGGTCATTCGAGAAATGCAAATTAAAACCACATTGAGATACCATCTCACACCAGTTAGAAAGGCAATCATTAAAAAATCTGGAGACAACATGCTGGAGAGGATGTGAAGAAATGGGAACATTTTACATTGTTGGTGGGAGTGTAAGTTAGTTCAACTATTGGGGAAGGCAGTGTGGTAATTCCTCAAGGATCTAGAGATCAAATTTCCATTTGACCCAGCAATCCCAGTAATGGGTATATACCCAAAGGATTATAAATCATTCTATTATAAAGACACATGCACACGTATGTTCATTGTGGCACTCTTTACAACAGCAAAGACCTGGAACCAACCCAAATGTCCATCAATGATAGACTAGAAAAAGAAAATGTGGCAAATATACACCACAGAATACTACACAGCCATAATAAAGGATGAGTTCGTGTGTTTGCGGGGACATGGATGAATCCGGAAACCATCATTCTCAGCAAACTAACAGAAGAACAGAAAACCAAACAGTGAATGTTCCCACTCATAGGCAGGTGTTGAAAAATGAGAACACATGGACACAGAGAGGGAAACATCACACACTGGGGTCTGTTGAGGGGCTAGGGGAGGGACAGCAGGTGATGGGAAGGTTGGGGAGGAATAACATTGGGAGAAATGCCTGATGTGGGTGATGCGGGGAGGGAGGCAGCAAACCACCATGACATGTGTATACCTATGCAACAATCCTTCAAGATCTGCACATGTACCCCAGAACTTAAAGTGCAATAAAAAAAAAAGAAGTTAATATATTTCTCATTGAAAGGGAAGAAGAATTAAGGAGAATGGGGCATTTGACAATATTAAATATTACAGAAGGGTTAAGGAGCATGACTAATAAGTTACCAAATCTTGATATGAGTAGTTCTCTGATGATTATTATTGACAGAGATGTGTAAGATAATTAAATCATAACTTCCTTACATTTTAAGTATCTAGTGTATATAATCAACACTTTCATTAATGTATGGTGGTATTTATTTTAAAATGCTATTTCTATTGGACACTAAGTTTTTCCAAGCTGATCAAAAACAACTATTTAGTACAATAGACCAACAATGAAAATATTGCCATTGTTCTTTTTAATTCAGTTGGCATAACAGATCACTATGAATTAAATTTTCAAATAGTATACAGTTCATGAGAAAAAGGCATAATTGCCAGAAATATAATTTGTTTCTATGCCTACTACTTATCTTGTTCACTCATTAAAATCAGTTAACATATTGAGGTCTTCTACTATGTTCCATCACTCTTCTGAGTATTGCAATTCCAAATTTCTGAAACCTTCTCCCCGATCCCTGAATCTACATTCTTGTTTCCTCAAATAAAGTGTTGTGCTGAGTTCTACAAAGCCCTGGTTCAGGATTGAAAGATATATTCCTCAGCATGGTACTGTTACAAGAACAGACACACCAACCAATGGAACTGAATAGAAAACTCAGAAATAAGAAGACTGCAAACCTACAACCATCTGATCCTCATCCAACTTGACAAAAACAAGCAATGGAATAAAGATTCCCTAATAGGTTTAATAAATGATGCTAGGAGTGCTGGTTAGCCACATGCAGAAATTTGAAATTGGACTCCTTCCTTACACCTTACACAAAAATTAACTCAAGATAGATTAAAGACATAAATGTAAAAATCCAAAACCATAAACTCTAGAAGAAAATCTAGGTAATACCATACAAGGCACAGACATAGGCAAAGATTTCATGACAAAAATGCCAAAAGCAATTGCAACAAATGCAAAAAAAGGCAAATGGAATCTGATTAAACTTAAGAGTTTCTGCACAGCAAAAGAAACTACAATTAAGTGAATAGACACCCTACAGAATGGGAGAAAAATTTTGCAATCTATCCATCTGACAATGGGCTAATATCCAGAGTCTACAAGGAACACAAACAAATGTACAAGAAAAAAACAAACAACCCCATTAAAAAGTGGTCAAAGGACGTGAACAGACACTTCTCAAAAGAAGACATATATGTGGCCAGCAAACATGAAAAACAAACCTCAACACCATCACTTATCATTAGAGAAATGCAAATCAAAACCACAATGAGACACCATCTCATGTAAGTCAGAATGGTGATTATTAAAAAGGCAAGAAACAACAGACGCTGGTAATGCTGTGAAGAAATAGGAATGCTTTTGTACAGTTGGGGGAGTGTAAATTAATTCAACCATAGTGGAAGACAGTGTGTAAATTCCTCAAAGACTTAGAAGCAGAAATACCATTTGACCCAGCAATCCATTATTGAGTATTTACCCAAAGGAATATAAATCATTCTATTATAAAGGTACACGTACACAAATGTTCACTGCAGCACTATTCACAATAGCAAAGACATGGAATAAACCCAAATGCCCATGTTATGATAGACTGGATAAACAAAATGTGGTACACCATGGAATACCATGCAGCCATAAAAAAGAATGAGATCATGTCCTTTGCAGGACATGGATGGAGCTAGAGGCCATTATTCTTAGCAAACTAACACAAGAACAGAAAACCAAATACTGTTGTTTTCACTTATTAAAAAGCTGAATATGAACATATGGTGGGGAACAACATACAGTGGGAGTGTTGGGGTGGGTGAAGGTGGGAAGAGGGAGAGCATCAGGAAGAATAAGCTAATGGATCCTGGGCTTAATACTAGGTGATGGTATGAGCTGTGCAGCAAACCACCATGGCACATGTTTACCTATGTAACAAACCAGCACATCCTGCACATGTACCTCTGAACTTAAAAGTTTAAGGATTTAAAAAAAAATTTTTTTAAAGACATATTACCCCAATTGCTAGGTAAGCCAACTACAGGAATTGCCCTGCCACTTTGACTAAGGTCATGACCCCACTGCAGAGCAGGTCATAACCAATGACTAGTTGCCTCAGGACAATTCTGAATGGCCATGCCAGCTTCGGAGTTCCCCAAAAGATCGTTCAAGGCCTATGATAACAGCAACCACAGCCTAATGTCCCTGTCTGCCCAGTCCTGCTTCCTTTGCTTCCCCTGGCAGGTGCTGCTTTTAAAAGCACTCCCAAATCAACTTCCCGTACAGGAATCTCCATCTCAAAGTCAGCTTCCTGGGAAACTCAGCTGTACTAGCCACCCACACATATTCTCCTCAGCTGTGTTACATGATTGAAATTTACTCCATCCCTGACCTTAGCATCCCACTTGCTGGTCACCTCTGCAGACAACTCATCCAAAGAGCATCTCACAGCACACTTCATCCAAGCTAAATGTTGAGGAAAATAGTGACGTGGCAGTACTTGCTACTGACCATCTTTTTTATTTGAGACTGCTGATTATTCAAGAGAGCTATACTTGGTAGATTAATAAACATTATATGTAGTAAAGAATTTCCAGCAAACAGAAGGGGAGAAGAAAGAAAACTATTTTGAAACACAAAGAACTTTCTCTTGCTTTAAAACAGAATACTATCAGAACAAAGTGTGAAAAATGAGTGCATACATGGAAATTCACATAAAAACTGGAGTATCAATAAATAAAAAAAATAAAAACAGAAAATCACAAAAAAAAGTATTAAAGGCCTTTATTGATTTAATTTTCCTTTCAACTTATCAATGCTATTGCAAATTCTAAAGAAACTGGATTTGGGTGAAATTTTTTTATTATGAAGATACAGATCTAAGAACAGAAGGATAATTACGTGCTATCTTATATAGAGTTTCTTGTAAAAATAATGATACATGAAAAATTAGTAGAAAATGAAAATCTGAAAAGTTATCTCATATCTGAAAATGTTAAGCAATTTCCCCTGCATCTTAGGTCTAATCACTTTTGCAGAATAATCAAGTATATTTGGGTGAAGTGAGTAATTATTCCATTTTTATTAATAGTGCAGTGTGCCCTTCAGAGCTTGGCATAGTCTTTAAGAATCATCTGAAGTTTCTGGCTCAGCATGATGTTCCCTTTGGCCTTCAGTCTGCCACTAAAGAATGCCTGCAAGGAGAGGAGGGAAAAGAGTGCCAACCATTAGCATGTTATAGTTTATTAATTTTTTAAGATCATTATTCAGGCTGAATACAATTGAGTTAATAATTCTAGACAACAAAGGCAACTTTTATTTCACAATGACAATTTAATAACTATACATAGCATGTATTTTTAAGATATCTAAGGAAAAAAGAAAAAATGATTCCTATGTATTTTAGAATACTACACAATAATTCATCTGAACTCACAGATCTGGGAGTTCTGTTTCAACCTACATTTCTGGCTTTACTTTATATTCTTACATATGAATTTGAGACCATATTAATAAAAGGCGATACTGTATTCCTCATAATAATATTCAATTCTGAACTTTCAAAAGCAGATTTAAAATATTTATATTTTCATGAACTAGAAAGCCATGTAATGACAAATTAAAGAATATAACACAATAGTAAATAGATCATAGCTACAGCTTCAGAATGCCTGAGTTAAAATCCAGGCTTTGCCCCTTAACAGCAAGGTGAGCTAGAGCAAATGCTTAGATGCTTAGCCTCTTTGAACTTCAATCTTCTCATATATAAAAGGCATGACAACAGTACCTATATAACACAACTCTATTGTGTGAGTTAAATAAAATAATGTTTACAGTGCTTAGCTTAGTAGTTTGACATGTGATAGGGAGTCTCACTTCATCATTATTACCAAGCAAAAGCTGGTGTGTTAAAAAATGAAGGGTTCCTGTACCACTTCTGTAGCTAACCTGATACAGAAACTTGTGCAAGTTGCTTAAACTCTCCTTCAGTGCAAATTCCCTGTTAGTAAAATAAAAGTAATAAAAAATAAGTTTTTATAGCTTACATAAAATATGAAGTGAAAAAGCCTCTAGATTTCTAGCTAAATGGAGAAAATAGTGGTATTTTATACACTTAGCATTATAAAGCAGCTCCACAAATATAATCTCACTTAAGAATCACAGCTGGCAATTTGAAGTGGGCACATCAGCAGTTGTTACCCCAGTTGACATATGAGAAACTGAATTTCAGACAGCTTATTAAATAATCTGCTCAAGTCTACAAAGTCAGCAAGAAGTAGGGCTAGGGCTTAAACTGAGGTCTCTGCTCAGCAACGCTTGTTAACAATATTTGTTAACTCGCAGCACTTAGTCTCAGAAGCAAACCCTCATGAACTGGAGAAAAGGCAACAACTTTTTATTCCAGAAATACTGAGAGAGAGCTCATTCAGTCATGATCAAATGCATTCAAACAAGAGACCAGGATTTCAAAACTAAGATTTTTTCCACTATGCAGTTACAAAAACAAACAAACAAACAAAACAATGATCAGCAATTCATGCAGGGAAGGAGTCAGTACTTAGACCCTTAGACAGGCTGCTAAGTACTAAACTGTGAAACGAATTTATAACCTAAAACAAGAACATCTAATAACTTTAAGTAAAAATATCCATTTTAAATAGTTATTTTTGAGAAGAATTTTGTACATAAATCTTTCCTTCTATTTTCTTATTTCTTAAAGTTCTTAACCATATACCCAAATTACCAGTTTCCCAACTCTTCTCTGCCATGCACCTGACATCACAGCAAACTCTCAGGGGCACTGGGGAATACTGTAAATTTTGGAGGAAAATACAGTTATAATGGTCAAACACAAAGAAACTAATTGTTTCAAACTGCTTTATAAATACAACTGTTGGGTAGATGGTTTGGCCTAGGAGTGCCATGCAAAAAGTAGTAAGACTATAAATTGCCATAAAGGAAGAAGGTCTGGAAGCACTGTGCTTTCCAGAAAGACTATACCAACTATCGATTGACTGACTGAGACAGGGTCTTGTTCTGTCACCCAGGCTACACCCAGCATGATCACAGCTCACTGTAGCCTAAACCTCCCAGCTCAAGTGATCCTCCTACCTCAACCCCCAGGTAGCTGGGACTGCAAGTGTGTACCACCACACCAGCCTAATTTAAATTTTTTTTTTTTTTTTTTGGTAGAGACAGGGTCTCTCTATGTTGCCTAGGCTCAAACTCTTGGACTCAAGCAATCCTCCAGCCTCGGCCTCCCAAAGTGCTGGAATTACAGGCATGAGACACTGTGCCTGGCCTATACCAATTTTATATTCCCTCCAGCTGCATATGAATTATCTTATCCCAACTGTAAAAATAGTATTTTCTTACACTTTGAAAATATGAGGCAAAAATAACATGCTTTAATTTGCATTTTTGGATACTGGGAAAAATCTTTTTTCTCTTGTGTGTCAGTCATTTCTATTCATGTCATTAATTACCGTTCCATATCTTTTGTTCACTTTTTCTATTGAGGTTGTAGTGCTTTCCAGAATTTTTTCTATATTAATAATATCAATATGCTATATATTATCATTTTATTTATTCCCTTGATTTATGGAAATATACTAGAGTCTGACATGCAGAAGTTTCTAATTTCTATATAGCCTAATCTACTGTTATTGAGCCTTCATTCCTTACTTCTATACTTGCTTTAATCTACCCAAGTATTAACTGAATGTCTACAGCATACTAGGCAATATTCTAGGCTAGGCTGAATATCTGTACCTGTTCTCACAGAGCTAACATTAAACTAGAGGAATCAAAAAGTAAAATGCAAACAAATAATTAAAGCCTGTTATAAATGCAATGAAAGAGAAAACAGGAAGCTGTTAGAATATAGCAGGAAGAAACTACTTTGGATGAAATGAAGCCAGCCATGCAAACAGCTAGGAGGAGAAATTCCAGCAAAGGCAAATGCATAGACATTGAGGGAGTAAAAGCTGATGGGAAGGAACTGAGAGGAAGGACAAAATAACTAGAATTACCATTGCAGCTGATGAGGCAAGTGGCATGGGATGAAGCCAGAAAAATGAGCAAGGGAAAGAAACATCACATACAACACGGTACCAGGTAGCTTGGATTTTATACACATGCAAAAGGAATCTTGGAGATTTTATCAAGTGTGATGATAAATATGAACCAGCAATTAATGACCGTAGTAGAGATGACTAATATACATAAATAATCTGATTTACATTTTTAAAGGAATACTCTGGCTCCTGGGTAGAGAACAACAGACTGAATAGGAGAGACAAGCCAGGAAGAAGTAAGACAGGTGAGAGATAACAGAGGCTAGGATCACAGTGATATCCCTAGAGAGGGAGAGAAGATGAATTCAAGATATATTACGAAGAAAGATCAGAGAGAAGTAAGGATGAAAAGGATACAGAAGGGCAGAAGGAATCTAAGATAATTTTTACATTTCTGGGCTTACTGATCTGGGTAGACAGATGATGGTGCCACTGATTAAGAAGGAAGAGACGGGAGAAAAATAAATCACAAGTTCTATTTTGGTCACAGTAAGTTTGACATGCTGGTAAAATTTCCCATTAGACTGGTTAAGTCAAGGGGTAGTTCTATCACTACGGAGCTCAGAGAAGGCTAAGTGGAGCCAAGTTCCTCCCACGGTGGCCTTTGAACTAGTTGTTCCCTCAGCCTGATGACTCATTCTGGTACTCTGTTCAAGTCTCTAGCAGGCATTTCAGGTATCTTAGAAAACCCCCATCAGGACTTTAAACAACCCTATTTAAAATAGTTCCCCTGTCCTGTCACACTCTAACCCAAGGGTTGGCAAACAACAGCCAGAGAACCAGATCTACTCGGCTGTCTGTTTCTGTAAATAAAGTTTTACTGGAACACAGTCACACTCCATTGTTCACATATTCTCTATGGCTACTTTAAGGCTACAATGGCAAAGCTGAAGAGCTGCAACAGAGAGACTATCTTGCCCACAAAGTCAAAAATATTTACTATGTAACCCTCTGCAGAAAAAGTTTGCCAGTCATTGCTCTAACACTCTATTCTGCCTTATTCTTCTGTAACTTGAGATTTTATTTCCTTTGCATTAGTACACTAAAAGGAAGAGTTTTGTCACAATTCAGTAGGGTTTTGTCACAATTCAGCCAATACCTAGAACCTGAATCAAAGTAGGTACTAAATAAATTCCTGGAAAGAAATTAACAGAGGGTTCACTGCATTGCCAAGCACTATACTAAGCTCTTCGTACATATTACTGGGTTTAGTTCTTACAACAAGCCTTTGTAAACATTACAATTATTATACTCATTTTACAAATAAGAAAATTAAAGTTCTGGATGAAGTGACAGAGCCAAGATTCAAATTTAGATTTTATCGGATGCCAAAGACTACTTTTTACCTACTATACTATTTACAGTCCCTTTTAGTTTTTCTATACAAGAAAACTAAATATTTCCTCATTTATTTAAACTACTCCTATGCAAAAGCTATTTTTTAATAACTGCACTCATCCACTTGTTTGAACGCCTTCATTCTAACTAAAAGTTAGTTCTCTTGGGATTTCCAGCTACATAATCACAAAATGAAAATAAATTTTTCTCCTCCATGCTAATTGCCACATTAATTACTTTACTTGATAAAATTTTGTATATTTACTTTAATTTTGTGTATTTGTGGACTGGCCAAAAGTTTCAGAATAATATTAACTAAACAATGGTCACAGAAGGCACTCTTGTCTTAATCATGATTTTCCACTGAAATGCCTCTAAGATTCACCTTAAGTAAGACATTAGCTATTATGTTAAAATATTCTATTTTCAATATTCAATGATTTCTTAATTTTATATATTGGGAATGTCTAATTTTATGTAGTATCTACTAATATGTGGTTTTTCACCTTTGAACACACAACAGAATATTATTTAAAAATCTAGATGTGGGTTCTACATTATTATACTGCATCCTGAAGAGAAATTTCACCACCCCCCCCAAAAAAATCAGTCTTAAAAAGTGTCAGCTGAAACTCCATTAAAAAAGAAATACAGGATCTGTCAACCAGAATATCAGTATCAACTGTGTCATCTTCAGAGTTCTAAGAAACCTGTCTTATAAATCAGACTTTGGGAGTCAGCTCAAAAAGTGCAACTGTCAAAGAAGAAGCAATAAAACAATGAATAATGAACATCTGAGAACATTACCTTCTGAGGGTCAAGCCTGCCCAGGACCACCTCCATGAAATCTTCATCTGAAAGTATGATTGTTGTATCGGCAGCACCTTTTGCAGGGCCTTGGTACACTTTTCCAGAGCCACTTTTCAGGTCAATAGCTGGAAAAAATAGGAAGAAACCAATGTGTATCTTTTTCTCTCCACAAAATAAGGGTAAAATAAACCAAGTCAAATGTTTCCAAGTTAATACGGCGTTTATTCTACACTTATTCTATCGATCGATTATACATTATTTGTCATTTAGAAAAAAGCAAAATATAGAAATACAAGAATACAGAAATTTGAGGTGAAGAGGTGGAACTTCAAATTCTGTAATGGCTCAGGTCACGGTCTCCAACCACCACCATCACCTTAAGTTTACAGATACCTACAAGATCACATCTAATCTTATTGCAGAAGTGAAGAAATAGATTGTATTAATTTTCTCTTAGTGGCAGAATTCATTATAGCCATCTTACTGTTGATTTTACACTCTGTATTTATGTAATTAAGCTTCTGAAAGGGTCCATAACAATTTCAGTTATACTTTAAGCATTTAATAAGGAAGGGGTGAGGTAACTTGGCATTTGAAATGAGAATATGACATTTGAAAACTTGGAGACCCCTGAGGCTCTTATTAGGATATATACTTTACAAATCACAAAGGGCTACTACAGGAGAAAGAAGGAACTGTTTTTGTTTATGCCTCCTTCCCTTAATATTAGAAGGTCTTTGCTGGCACAAACACGTTTTGTCTTTGTATCCCCTATACTTCCTTGAAGAGAAAGTACTTAGGAATATTTATTAAATGGAAAAGCACATGAAAGAAGGATATCTACCCTCCAAATATATATATAAAATATATATATTAATAGTAACAAACACAAATAAAAAAATTCAGGCTAAAAATTAAGGTTAAAAAAAAGTCACACCAAGAGCATACCACTTTTGTGTTATTCTGCCAAAAGTTCATAAACTAAAACTAGTCATAAAAAAATCAATTAAAAACAAACTAAGAAACATGCTATAAAATAATTGGTCTGCAGTCTTCAAATATCTCAAAATCAGGAAAAGCAAAGACTGAGGAACTCCTCCAGATTAGAGCAGACTACAGATCTAAGAACCAAATGTAACGTACAATCCCAGATTGGACCTTGATCAATTCTTTTTCTTTCTTCATTTTAATAATAAAGGACATTATTGGGACAATGTTTGCTATAAAGGATATTATTGGGACAATGTTGAAATAGTAACAAGATCTGTGGATTGGATTACCTAATATACTGTATCAATGTTTATCTCCTGATACTGATCATTGTTGTGTGACTAGTTAAGAGAATGTCTTTGTTCTTAGAAAATGCTACTAGGATACTCTCTTAGGCATAAAGGGACATCTTGTCTGCAAGTTACTCTTAAATGCTTCAGAAGAAAAAAACACATATGAAGGAAAAAATTAGTAAAGAAGATGGGATCAAACTTTAACAATTTGACAAAACTGGATGAAAGACAGACAAAAGTTCTCTATAGTATTTTTGCAAATTTTCCATAACTCTGAAATTGTTTCAAACAAAAAAATTACAAAATGATGTTACTAAGATGAATAACACACAGAAGATAAAAAGTCAGAATTGTTTTAAATAATGTTGTGCATTTGTGTGTACTTTTGAAGATAAATGTACATGAGCATGCAGCCAGGAGCTGCAGTCAGTAAGTCAGAGAAGAAGCAGTCAGTGTTACTTAGGGAATAGAGAGTGACCCTGAGGCAGATATGTCTCCAACAAACAGGACCCCACTTCTAAATGGAGAACATATTTCTTTCCAAATAATATCTTTCAAGGCTTTTCTATAATTGAATGAGACACTCACTTCAATCCAAATCCAAAATTTGGAACCAACACCCTTGATATTTAGTTTATATCCAAGTTGAGAGACATAAGCAGCAATCTGGTTTGACTGCTAGATGAGCACCAACCCAGGAGCTCACAGGTTTTAATAATCACATGGTATCCTCAAGAATTAATAATTCTGGTATCAAAAGAATGCTAGTTCTCAAACCTCTGTATATTCTTATATATTGTGACAAATGTCTAGGATTAAAAATAGCTAAGCTCTAACATTTAAAGAACATCCTCATCCAGTCACATTGTCATATAGTACATATACAGTACATAACGGAGGCTTGGATTTAGTACAGATATGCAGACTTAATTCTATGAAATTAATTATAGGACTTTTTTAAACTTGAGTTATTTTATTATTTAACAAATAATATTCAAACAAAAATCCATAGTATTTGTACCACCTTGCTATCTAAATGTAAATTCCACTTATGTTCCTATAATGGAAAAGATTACATATATGTGAAAGGAAACCAAATTTAAATTCAGAAGGATAACAATCAAACTGCTCGATGACAAACACAGCTTAGATTATCACCCTAAAAAAAACAAAACAGATTTTGCTCGGCAACATTGTATTTAGCACATGGAAATAAATCTTTGTAAAAAGTTTCAGTAATATTATTTTACAGGTATTGGATACATACAGACAATAGATTCCTATTTGAAACTATAGGACTGCCTGTGCCTAGAATACCAATAAATTACATATTTAAAACCTGTGGGCCAAATTCTATGATATTCATCTTGTTTACAGACAAATGGAAATATTAGAACCGCTGTTCTATAAAGTGAACAGGAAGAGCAGATAATCCTTCAGGACCAGCAAAGATTTTCCTTCCATTTTCTTCCTGCATGTCATGAAGCAAGGTGGTGAAGCTAACGTTCTTAATTCCAATTACAAATTCCTCAAATATGGTTTCCAACTCTCTGCCTCCAGTTATGAAGTTACTCCTAAATTCCAGGTCCACAGTGCCCACAATTTAGTCCAGATCTTGGTTGGCTATAGTTTTGGTCACAACTTAATCATCTTCTCTCCCAAACCTCCCTCCTCTACCTGTTTCTTACTTCTAGTAATGGAGCCAACATCCTCAAGCACACGTGCTCAAAACCACAGCATTAGTTTTGACTCTCTCATTCCTGTTGTTTTTTAGACATAATCAGTAGCTAAGTTAGTCAATTCAATCTTAGCAATAGTTCTACATTGGCCCTCTCCTGTCCTTTATTACCATTTCCTTAATTGAGGTCTTCCTTCCCTTTACTCTGCAATGCAACAACCTTTGTTTCCTCAACCCCAGTATTTCAGCTTTCCTGACACACTGCCTCTAAATAATTATTCCTATAGATTTAAAAAAAAAGGCGTCCTGTCTATTCATATTTGTAGTTTCCACATAACAGAGAACTTGACACATATTCAAATGTTTAATGAATGACATAATCCTCCCATTCTCTGAAAGCAGAGCACCCTTTTCCATGTCTCTTATCACTTGTGCTCTATAAGAATTATTTATGTACATGTACAGGTCCACAATTCCTTATCTGAATGGATTGTTTCAGGCTGGGTTTTGAAATTGGGAATCAGATTTTAGGAAAGAAATATAATGCATAAAACATGTATTACATATTATGCAACACTCTAGAAACAAGTATATTACTTCTTTACTTGACTACCTCACACTAGGTGACAATCGACAGCATCATGTAAGTTCAAGTCAGGCTTCACCAGCAGTTATGAGAAAAAAACTGTTCATTTCTAGAGCTTTTTGGTTTCTGGAGTTTCAGATAAGAATAACTATGTTTTAATTTTCAGAAGGAGACTGTACTGTAGGCCACATAAATCCTCTGATTCTTTTTCTTCCTTATGCCTTTATATCATCTTTCATTTTCTCTGCATTTTTACTGTTGCTTAGAACAATAAAATAGTTTTCAAAGGGTTTACTACAACAACTTCTGCTAGTTTTAGAAATAATTAGCAATAAATACTATAAAATATTTGTTACTTATTGTTTCATTGTTATCATATTATACTGATTTCACTCATACTAAATAAAAAATAAACATCACTATCCATACAACAAACCTATTATTTTAATAGAAGGTACAGTATCAATTTCAGAACCTTTTGTTAAAAAGGGAGCCATACTATTTTCTAAAACTATGCTTTGTACATGGCTTTTAGCACTCATTCAACATGTACAGAGTCAGGCTAGTTATTGTATGTTATAGACCATATTAGAAGCTAGAAATAGACAAACTGCAGCCCTTTCTCAGGGTTAAGCCCAAGGTCAAATAAGAGAAAACATATAATTATAAATCCTCAAAATACAGTAAGAAAACTGTGGCAAGCAACAGACTGTTGAAAAGGAATTGAGAGACTTTTCTATCTCCTATCCATTTTCATCTTTTCAAACTAATTGAAGAATCTCTAGGAAAATAAAGGTGTATTTCCTTTATTTTCCAAAATGAGGAATATTCTATTATTTTAGAATATTCTATAAATAAAATTTGTGCCATGATTAAGGATGTGAGTTATACAGCAGACACAAAAGATCTGATAGAATATTTTTTCTTGGCTCTTTTTATCCTCTAATTTCTCTTTCTTTACAAAATGGTACCAGGGTCCATTTGGACCTCCATATTAGTGAAAAAGAAATATGACTGCTTTCTTTCTGCAGCAAGATGTTTTATATTGAGTGCACAGAACTCTAATAGATAATTTCCCTAGACTAAAACAAGTACCTTTGATTACACTCTGTATACAGCAAGAAAATAGTAATTTTATACTGATGATTAAGATAATACAAACTACTATTTTGATATTAAGAAAATAATTTTATAACTGTCAAATATAATGACTTAAAAATACTTCATTTTGAATTGATCAATTTGCCTTATGTTTAAGAAGCTAAAGATTAGATAGATAAAGATGCATATAGCCAAGATTACTGTTTAAACTACTTTCAAGGATTACGATGAAATCTTAAAGCAGGTATTTTCATTTCAACTGATTCCCTGTATCCTACACACACATACACATTTGGGCATTCCCAAACCTGTTCATTCCCACATGGGGGAAAAAGCAACTTACCTGAAAAGGTAAGATTTACCTACCTTCAAAGGTCTTTAATTGTTAAAAAGATACTTTATTAACTAAAAGTCACCTTAGAAAATAATAAAATCACGGCTATAACTTACTCCACTTAGCTCCAACATTTCCGCCTTTAGTTATATGCCACTCAAACACAGCATTTACTTTCTTCACCACCTCATGCCCAACATCCTTTAGGCGGCGTCCTATTTCCTCAAACACAAGGGTACTCTGAAGCTCCCCGCCCTAACAACAAAAAAAAATTTTTTAAGTTCTTTAAAAATAACTCAAGGAGAAAAGTGATTACAAAATATATGGAAAAAAAGTGATTTTTTAAAAACTGCACAGTTACAGTTTTTTCAAACAATGTGTCTTATATAATTTCTTTATATTTATATATGTCACTCAGAACCTCAGTCCTCTTAATAAGAGGATTTTACTTTTATTAAATTTCAGAAATAGTATTTTAAAAGAAAAATAGGAACTGGACAACCTATGTTTCAGCTAACTGCAGGAAGATCCTGATGAAATTAATCAACTTCTATGGTCTCATGTTTTTATTTATAAAATGGGACTAAATTACATGAAGTCTGAATTTCTTTACAACTCTAAAACTTCTTAAGTTTTTGGGGTTTTTTTTTTTTGTCTTGTTTTGTTGCCCAAGCTAGAGTGCACAATCTCAGCTCACTGCAACTCCACCTCCTGGGTTCAAGCAATTCTCCTGCCTCAGCTTCTCGCATAGCTGGAATTACAGGAGCCTGCCACCAAACCTGGCTAATTTTTGTATTTTTAGTAGAGACTGGTTTTCATCATGTTTGCCAGGCTGTCTTGAACTCCTGATCTCAAGTGATCTGCCCACTTCAGCCTCCCATAGGTCTGGGATTACAGGCATGAGCCACTGAGTCCGGCCTAAGTTTTTTTCCTTAGATTATTCTTAAGGGACTTTAATTTTCAGTCACCTATGTGGTTTATAATAGACAATTCAAGATCATGGGTATGAAAACCTCAACATTACAAAGTTAGTATTTCAGAGATAGAATATAAACATTTTTATCAAAAGTCTCAGCATGCTAATAAATAATAATACAATATTTTAATAAGTTATATACACTATTTGTTTATATATTTGCATACAAAGCTTTATACAAATCTTTAAATCAAGAAAAAGTACAGGATATTCAAGTTTTTAATCTACTTTTCTCCAAATTGTTGTTTGCTTAAGATTCTGATTAAACAACTGATCTATTTACTCTAAAACTAGAAAATCATGTTCTCTTGAAATATATCCCAGTATCCTGCAAAACAAATTGCCAGAGTATTCCTTTTATTCCAAGTAGTTCTGAATCAATGTTTTGAAACATTGATCAAAGTTTGAAAAACTTTCACTTCAAAAATTAAGAATAGTTTCCTGTTTGTTAATTTTCTAAAGTAGCCTAACCATTCTTAAAGTCACCTTAACTGAAATTCTTAATGAGAAAGTGGCTCGGATACTAATTTTTATAACCTACTTCAGAGGGTATCTTAGCTGAAATATCAGATGTTGGTGCAAGATCCACATATGCATTTGAAAGGACAATGTCTCCAGTTCCTTGGACCTTAGAAGGAAAAGGGAAAAAAAAAAGTTTATTCTGAATTACAATGGAAGTGCAATTTCACTGTGAAACAGTACATTTAAAAGAAATTTATGTTTGCCTCATATGAAAAAGAATTTAATAATCCAAATAAAAGGCTGATATATCAAGTAAATGTCAAAATGAATAAACACAAAGGCTTTCTGATTTAATATAACTGATACTAGCCCTGGCTTTAGAATAAATTGGAGCCCTTTAAAATATATATATATATATTTTTTTTTTTCATTCTCATATATATATAAGAATGAAGTCCCATCTCCCAAAATTCCAATATAAATAGGCTGGGATAAAGCCTGGGCCTTGGTATTTTGTTTTTTTTTTGTTTGTTTGTTTGTTTGCTTTGCAGGAGGGTAGTCAGGGGATGAACTCTTATAAATAGAATTCAGTCTATGCTGAATCCTTACAAATAGTAAAAGGCATAGAACAATAGCCACATGAGGTAATGATACTCAAAGTACATTTCGTCTGCTAATATAGAATAAAATTGGCTAGGAACTAACAGTAATAGTGTTTTTAAGTAGTAATTCCAGGTCTTATTTCAAAAAGAAGTATACACAGCATAAATTAAATGCCTAAATAGGCTTTGATCAAAATAGTCATTAAAGAAACTCAAATTCAAATTCCTCATCCTTCATTTCAAATTATTCCAATGGCTATTCTTTCATACAAATTATGATATTGCTACAAATGTATAGGATAAATTTCTAAAGTTTAAGGTAGCATTTATTAAAACTTTGATTTTTAACAATCAAGAAGATCTTCTCTTGACTACATCCCATCATATTTTGGAGAAAACAAAAGATCTTTCAAGTAATTTGTTCGTTTTACTTCAAATTATATACATTGAAAAGCATGGAAAGATATCATTAATGGACAAAATGCACTTTAGTAAATTACTTTGTTACCAAGTCAACCAAATCATTTTAAAACACTGGCTTAAAATGTTTCTTGTATATTAAGAAGGAAAGGAAAAGAGGAATTCCTAAGAAAGGAAAAGAGGAATGGAGGAAGGAAGGGAGAAAGTGAGAAAAGGAGAAAGGGAGAGAAGGAGTACTAAAACTAATAGAAAAACAGTATCTATCAGCTCTGAGGAAAAATATAGCAAATATGCTGGAAAGATAAGATGGCACACTTAGAATTTAACAAAATGGCAAGAATATATTATATTCAGACATTTAATCATTTCTCAGCCCTTCAAGTTTGTATCCATAGAAATTATTTACATACTACTCATCACGAGAATTGCAGGAAAATATCATGGTCCTCAACACTGTTAGAGTTCATAATCTTAATCAAAAAGCAAAACTTACTCATATGAAACAAATCAGAAAATGAGAAGGCTCCAAAATATGTGGCACATATATTAGCTGTAGAGGCTTTCAGAGAACACCAGTGTGAATGTATGTATGGGTAGAAAAGTAGGAAGTAGTAGTAACAGCCTGCCTCTAAGAGAAAGTGGAGCTTGCACTTAAGTCTAAAGGACAGGAGGAATTTGTAAAGTAAAATAAACAATATGTACAGATTGAGCAGGAAAATGATATTGCAACCAGCAGAAGTAAGAAGAATTTTGCAAAGTTATCTATTTGTGAAAGAAAACACAATACAGAAAAGACATTTAGGGCCTGTGATCAAAGCCCTGAAGCCATGCTGATCGGGTTTCTATCCCAGCTCAGCTACTTGCTGTGTGACTATGAGCAAGTTATTTAGGACACCTAGATTAGATTTTCTTTGGAATCTAGATTTTCTTATATTTACATGCAGACTTATTATGCATATTAAAGAAAATACTATTGCCAGTTTACAAGTTCTCAGTAAGTAGAAGCCGTTACTATTATTGTTGGAGTTGTTTAAAATGCTCTATATAGCATGAAATGATGAGGCCAAAATGTATTAGCCTGGTCAACTCTGTTAACAAAAACTGTCTTTTAATTAATTGCAAATAAAACAATGATTACATGTCCTTTTAGTATTTTACTGGAGCATTGCTAACAGCCTCACCCCAAAAACCTCACCCTACAGAGAGATATACCTTTATTTGGCTTGTCATCTACTATTCGTTAGGCCAGGACTCTGTGATAAAACTTGTTAATTTGTGGATTTTTGTATAATAAAGATGCATATGATTTCTGTCCGGAGAAAAATCATAAAGGATAAGATTTTACTTTCCTGTAGGAAAGTAAAATTTTTGTCTCTAACATTGCAAAATTACTTTAGAATGCCTTTTGTGTTGGACCATATAAACATTTGTTCTAATTGTCTTTTGAACATGTTTTATCATATTGCAAGATCCTTCATTAATGAGTCAAATAGATTGCTGTCATGTTTTCATTGCATATTTGTACAATGCCTTTAATTTTTTTTTTAAGTCATGCCTTTTTTTTTGAAACAGAGTCTTACTTTGTCGCCCGGGCTTGGAGTGCAGTGTTGTGACCTCAGCTCACTGCAACCTCTGCTTCCCAGGTTCAAGCAATTCTTCTCCCTCAGCCTCTCAAGTAGCTGGGATTACAGGCATGCACCACCATGCCCAGCTAATTTTTTTTTTGTATTTTTAGTAGAAACAAGGTTTCACCATATTGGCCAGGCTGGTATCAAACTCCTGACCTTGTGCTCCCCCAAACTTGGCTTCCCAAAGGGCTGGGATTACAGGTGTAAGCCACCATGCCTGGCCTAAATTTTTTAAGATGATATTTTTGACAATGATTTGGTTGACTGGTTGAGCCAAAAAGAAATGGTTGGTTGAGTTTTCAGAATAACTGTGCCACTGCTACATAGGTAAGTACCAATTTAGTTGAAAAGAAAAGAGAAAATAAAACACAAGGTGCAAAACACTTCTATTTTATTTTTTTAAGTGTTGCCTGATAAAAATTTTGAAAACGCCAGACAAGATGTTTCTTATTTTTAATTAAAATTTCCCACTACTTAAAAAGAAACTTTCTAGGTTTTGTCTCAAATCCATAATAATACCCCACCCCCAAAAAAATGCTAAGATGGAACACAAAGATAAAGCATGTGAGAGGGTGGCAAAGCAAAATTCATACCTTGGTTTGAAAATGAATTCTGTTTCCTTCCTTCCACATCTCAGTTTGTAGAGTTTGTCCTGGATATACTGGTTTTGCAAAACGAGCCTTTAAAAAAGAGTTGTAGGGTTAAAAATGTTTTAAAATGAAACTGGTTTACTTGTGGAAGAAAAAAAAAATTGGAAAGGAAGTTAAAGAGTACAAAAGAAAGAAATGGAGGTTTAAAGATATTTAAACTCATAAAGACCTAAATATAATATGATACAATTAGTAGAATAAAGATGTAACTAGTATAAGTAAGCTAATTCTTTATCTTTCAAAGTATGGAATAAAAAAATAGTGTTTTTTTCCTTGACAAATCAAGAAATAAAACAATGATTATATTAGGTAGAATTATATAGGTACCACCAGAACAACTTAAAGAAATAATTAAAAGTGGTACAAATTAAGTCTGAGGACTGAGGCCTAGGGTGGGTATACAGGGAAAAATAATTCCACTCTTTATTCATAAGTTTCTGTATTATTTTCTCTGCATATATATTATTGGATAACAAAAAATAGCTGTAATAAAATAAAAAGCATGAGAGTTATCAGTGCTATCAAAGGCAATACATCAGAAAATGCATTTTCACTGGTGCATGGGGGATAAATTAAAAGCTTTTGGAGCTATTTGATAATGCCTTAAACTTTTTCAGTGTACATCTTTTGGCTTAAACTTGCACAAAAATAATGTCAGCATGGATTTTTTTCTCGTTATTTATAATGGACAAAAATTTGAAATCAACTAAAAAGTACAGATTTAAAACAATATGCAGTCATCATATTGCTAGAGATGTATGCTTATTAGACTTCAGATCAGCCACTTAACATTTTTAATTAAATTAAGGCAAATTATAAAAGTTTTTAAAAAAATAAATCTTTAGGTTTCAAGGCATATGTGCTGATATGTATATGTACCTAATTAATTTATGAAGCAACCCAGTTAATCTGTTAAAATTACAACTGTGCATCCTTCCTGGTGCATGTGCAACAGAGCTATTTATAGCTACAAAAAGACAGTGTGCTGACTGTCAGGTCAATAAAATAATAAAAATGTAATTGCTGTAGTACAATACCTATTTTAAATTATATCACTAAAACCCCTTTTCTTCTCTAAAGATAGTGGAATTAATATTCAAATTATGTAATAATATACATTTACCTTAATTGCCTTGAATCTTGACACATCATTATCCGCAAAGTGCCGTAAAACATGCCTGGCAGAAAATCCAAATGTACATAATCCATGTAATATGGGCTTGTCAAAACCTGGGAAAAGACAGAACACTGAGTTAGACACAGGCACCTTTAAAGTTTAAAAATCAAGTATGGTTAATTCAGGACGTTAAAAATGTCTTTAAACTGCATTAGCATGAATTATATCATCTATTTAAAGAAACACAGAAGGTATTTTTTAAGGAGTATTTCAAGGGAAAAAATTATAAAAGAAAGAAAGAAAAAAAACAGGAAAAGAATGTGAGATATCTGGAAACAGAATTGTTTAGTTTTGGTTCTGACCATGAAATCATCCAGGGTACTCTCAATATCCGCGTAGGCAGATGATCTTTCCCTAACCTTTCAGTTTCTTGCTCTCTCTCCAAGGACCTTGTCCTTTGTGATAACTCAGACACCCTCATGGTCCTATCGTAGACCTTGCACTAGAAGAAAATTCCCTCCATCATAATCTGAATTTCAAGCGCACTATTTTCTGAATACATTTCCTACCTTGCCATATCCTTTGCATAAATGTAATAACTAACATTTTTAAATGTTACTCAAACTACCAGTCATAAGTAGTAGTGTCTTTACATTATTTAGTTAGTTAAATAGCTAATATTTTTCTTTGATACATATTATCAGCAACTCACCTGCTAGGCTAGCAAAGTTAGGATCAATGTGTAAGGGATTCCAGTCTCCACTGAGGCGGTACAAAGCAGCCTGTGGAGAAAGCATTACAAACATAACTAGAACTCAGTGTTTTCTTAGAATACATTAAATGAAAAATAAGAAACATGGCTGGTTATTGTATAAGCACTGCATCGTAATGTACCTGAGGTTCTGATCTTAAAAATAATTATTTTTAACGATAAAGATCACCTATAATTAAATGTTTTTTAACACTTGTCACTAAAATCAATGGGAGGGGAAAAAAAATGTAGAGAGAAAAGCCAAGAATTATACCGGGTTAAAACACTGTTACTACTGCCTAAAGAGAAAGTCACAAAAAGAAGTCAATCAATTTACTCCCATTTATACACAGATAAGGTAAATGTTTATAGTCTATTCTAAGCAAGCAAAATTTATGCCAACTTTCTTACTGGGTTGTTTTAAATTGAAGCTTCAAAGGCAATATCAGACATAGAAACATCAAAGACTTTTCACCATCTTTCATTCTACTGGTACACTATATCCTGAACATTAGCTCACCCTGCAGGAAAACTGACTGAACTGATAGGTTGCTATTATGATAAAAGTTTTGCTGAGTCTAGATTTCCATATCACTAGTTTACTTAGGTAAGGGAGGATTAGCAGCAAGGCCTGGATAACAATAGGGAAAAAGTCACCATACTTACTGGCATTTAAATGATACATTCTTCCAAGTTAGAGAGCACTTACCAGCACTGAAAGGAAGAAATTCACCAAAGAACTAATAGTAAGTATATTTAATAAAATTGTAAACTTGACCCGTTTAGGTCAGCCTCAAGACTTCTTCCCTTTTTCATTAATTGCTGTGATGTTTTCCAAAGACTACTGAAATGTGTAAAAAATAGCCATGTCGGAAGCTCTCGGTGAATCCGCGGAGAGGTGAGTCACAGCTGCATTTCCAGACTGATCTATGTTGCCCACGGAACGGGGAAATTCCCAAGTATAAAGGAGACGCGGGACACCAGGCAGAGGTACCGCCTGGCGAAGCCGGCAGCCGGGATGGCGGCGGCCGGCCCTACCCAGCGCTCCCCACAGGGCGCGCTTGTCCGGGTGCCCTGTTGAACCGGCAACCTGAGACTTGAGAGGGCTGGACTTGAGACTGAACAGGACTTAGACAGTGGGCCAGCCCAGGGGATTGCAGGGACACAGCGTTTGGGGTAGCCCAGTGGGACGGACAAAACCACGATTCCAAACGCTCCCCATGCAGACGGTCCCTGAGACACTCTGTGGGGGAGGGGCGTCCACCATTACCGAGGCAACCCGCCCCTACTGAGATACATGCCCACTGCTGATGCACCCTGCCATTGCCGAGGCAACCCTCTACAACAGAGAGACTCCGCCGCAGGGCATAGCCCGTGGCGGAGACCGCAGCAGAAGAGCAGAGCCTGCAGCAACAGGGTGAACCACACAACAGCAGGGCAGAGCCTCAGCAGGCAAACAGAGACTAGACTGCCTCCTAGCTGGGCAGGACACCTCAATGGACATCCAAAAATAAAGCCCAAACCCCCCAAGACAGAGCATTTGAGAAAAAAAAAGGGTTTTTTTAATGAGCTCTGTTGCAGCAGAATCAAATACAGCAGCCTAACACCCCTGAATGAACAACAGAGCTCACAGCTCAGCAATTGAGCTCCTATAAAGTACAGACTGTCTCCTCAAGCAGCTCCCTGACCCCTCTATATCCAAAAGACTGACATTTGGCAGGCATCATCCTGGGACAAAGATAGCAGAAAAAGAAACTGGTAGCATCCCTCACTGTTCCGCAGCTGCTATAGGTGCACCCCAGACAAGCAGGGCCTGGAGTGGACCTCAGCAGTCGTACAGCAAAGGGGCTAGACTGGTAGAAGGAAAACCAAGTAACAGAAATACTTCATCAACAATCTGGGTGTCCACTCAGAGACCCAATCGAAAAGTCAGCAACTACGCAGACGACAAGTGGATAAATCCACAAAGACGGGAAGAAACCAGCGAAAAAAGGAGGAAAACACCCGAAACCAGAACACCTCGCCTCCTAGAAAGGACCAAAACTCCTCACCAGCAAGGGAACAAAGCTGGATGGAGAATGACTGTGATGAAATGACGGAATTAGACTTCAGAAGGTGGATAATGAGAAACTTTTGTGAGCTAAAAGAATATGTATTAAATCAATGCAAAGAAACTAAGGAACTTGAAAAAAGATATGAAAAAAGATTTGAGAAAATGATAACAAGAATGGATAACTTAGAGAGGAATATGAATGAATTAAAGGAGCTGAAAAACACAATACGAGAACTTCGCGAAGCATGCACAAGTTTCAATAGCCAAATTGACCAAGCAGAAGAAAGAATATCTGAAGTTGAAGATCAACTCAATGAAATAAAATGAGAAACCAAGATTAGAGAAAAAAGCGCAAAAAGGAATGAACAAAGTCTCCAAGAAATGTGGGACTATGTGAAAAGACCTAACCTACGTTAGATAGGTGTACCAGAATGTGACGAAGAGAATGAATCCAAGCTGGAAAATACTCTTCAGGACATCATCCAGGAAAATTTCCCAGACCTAGCAAGACAGGCCAACACTCAAATGCAGGAAACACAGAGAACACCACAAAAATATTCCACAAGAAGAGCAACCCCAAGGCACATAATCGTCAGATTCAACAAGGTTGAAATAAAGGAAAAAATACTAAGGGCAGCCAGAGAGAAAGGTCGGGCCACCAACAAAGGGAAGCCCATCAGACTCACAGCAGATCTCTCGGCAGAAACACTTACAAGCCAGAAGAGAGTGGGGGCCAATATTCAACATTCTTAAAGAAAAGAACTTTCAACCCAGAATTTCATATCCAGCCAAACCGAGCTTCATACGTGAAGGAAAAATAAAATCCTTTGCGAACAAGCAAGTACTCAGACATTTTGTCACCACCAGGCCTGCTTTACGAGAGCTCCTAAAAGAGGCACTACACATAGAAAGGAACAACCAGTACCAGCCATTCCAAAATCACACTAAATGCTAAAGAGCATCAACATAATGAAGAATCTACAACAACTAACGGGCAAAACAGCCAGCTAGCATCAAAATGGCAGGATCAAATTCACACATAACAATATTAACCCTAAATGTCAATGGACTAAATGCACCAATCAAAAGACACAGACTGGCAAATTGGATAAAAATCCAAAACCCATCAGTGTGCAGTATCCAGGAAACCAATCTCACATGCAAGGATACACAAAGGCTCAAAATAAAGGGATGGAGGAAGATTTACCAAGCAAATGGAGAGCAAAAAAAAGCAGGAGTTGCAATTCTCATCTCTGATAAAATAGACTTTAAAGCAACAAAGATCAAAAGAGACAAAGAAGGCCATTACATAATGGTAAAAGGATCGATACAACAAGAAGAGCTAACGATCCTAAACATATATGAACCCAAAGCAGGAGCACCCAGATACATAAGGCAAGTTCTTAACGACTTACAAAGAGACTTAGACTCCCACACAATAATAGTGGGAGACTCTAACACTCCACTGTCAATATTAGACAGATCAACCAGACAGAAAATCAACAAGGATATCCAGGGCTTGAACTCAGACCTGGAGCAAGCAAACCTGATAGACATTTACAGAACTCTCCACCCCAAATCCACAGAATATACATTCTTCTCAGCACCACATCACACCTACTCTAAAATTGACCACATAATTGGAAGTAAAGCACTGCTCAGCAAATGCAAAACAACTGAAATCATAACAAACAGCCTCTCAGACATAGTGCAATCAAGTTAGAACTCAGAATTCAGAAACCAACCCAGAACCACACAGCTTCATGGAAACTGAACAACTGGCTCTTGAATGTTGACTGGGTAAACAATGAAATGAAGACAGAAATAAAGAAGTTCTTTGAAACCAATGAGAACGAAGACACAACGTGCCAGAATCTCTGGGACACATTTAAAGCAGTCTCTAGAGGAAGGTATATAGCAATAAGTGCCCATATGAGGAAAATGGAGAGATGCAAAATAGACACCCTATCGTCAAAATTGAAAGAGCTAGAGGAGCAAGATCAAAAAAACTCAAAACCCAGCAGAAGACAAGAAATAACTAAGATCAGAGCTGAATTGAAGGAGACTGAGACACGAAAAACCCTTCAAAAAATCAATAAATCCAAGAGCTGGTTTTTTTGAAAAGATCAACAAAATAGACAGACCACTAGCCAGATTGATTAAAAAGAAAAGAGAGAACAACCAAATAGATGCAATAAAAAATGATAAAGGGGAAATCACCACAGATTCCACAGAAATTCAAACCATCATCAGAGAATATTACAAACAACTCTATGCACATAAACTAGTACACCTGGAAGAAATGGATAAATTCCTGGACTCCTGTGTCCTCCCAAGCCTAAACCAGGAGGAAGCTGAAACTATGAATAGACTAACAACAAGGTCAGAATTCGAGGCAGCAATTAAGAGCCTACCACACAAAAAAAGCCCAGGTCCAGACGGGTTCACAGCCGAATTCTACCAGACACACAAAGAGGAGCTGGTACCATTCCTTCTAAAACTATTCCAAATAATCCAAAAAGAGGGAATCCTTCCCAAATCATTTTACGAGACCAACATCATCCTGATACCAAAACCCGGCAGAGACCCAACAAGAAAAGAAAACTTCAGGCCAATATCCATGATGAACATAGATGAAAAATCTTCAATAAAATATTGGCAAGCCGATTGCAACAGCAAATCAAAAAACTTATTCATCATGATCAAGTAGGATTCATCCCGGGGATGCAAGGCTGGTTCCACATACGCAAGTCTATAAATGTAATTCACCACATAAACAGAACCAAAAACAAAAACCACATGATTATCTCAATTGATGCAGAGAAGGCATTTGACAAAATTCAACAGCGCTTTATGCTAAAAACCCTCAATAAACTCGGTATCGATGGAACGTATCTCAAAGTAATAAAAGCTATTTATGACAAACCAACAGCCAATATCATACTGAATGGGCAAAAACTGGAAGCATTCCCTTTGAA